TTTCTGATCAGGTTGGCTAGGGGTTTATCAACTTTATTCTTTCAAAGAGCCAACTCTTTAATTAATTCTTTGTATTGTTTTCTTCATCAGTTGTGTTAATTTCTGATCTTTGTAATTTCCTCCCTTCTTTGGGTTTTGGGCTTGACTTGCTCTTCTTTTTCTGAAGAAAAAAGAAAACCTGAGGTGCAGCATTAGGTTATTTATTTCTTCTTATTCTGTTTTCCTGTTGTGAGTTCACTACTATAAACTTTCCTCTGAGGAAGTACTTCCCGCTGAGGAAGTACTCCCTCTGAGGAGTACTATCATTGCATCCCACAGATTCCTGTAATTTGTATTTGCATTTTTGTATTTGCAAATACAAATTTGTATATTTATCTATTTGCAAATACAGTCTGAATTGATGGCATTTACATTGATGGTTATATGATATGTATTGGTATGTATTGGCTTATCTTTGTCATGTTATTTTCCTGCTATTGGTTCCCAACTTTTCCCTTCTGTTTAATTGCTTGCCCTGCTTGGTGATTTCTTTCTGCTCTTGTTCTGGGTACTGTGGTCATTTTTATCTCTTTCTAGAGTATCTTTTAGTACTCTGTAGGGTTTGTTTTGTGATGATAAATTTTTTCAGATGTTCTTTGTCATGGAAGCATCTTATTTCTCCATTAATTTTGAAAGAAAGTTTTGCAGGCTACATCAATTTGGATTAGATGTTGTTTTCTTTCAGGACTTGAAATACTTCACTCTAAGCTCTTCTTGACTTGATGGTTTGTGTTGAGAATTCTGCCATGATTCTTATGGGCTTTCCTTTATAAGTGGTCTCTTTCTTTTCTTTAACAGCTTTCAATATTCTGTTTTTGTGTTAAATTTTGGGATCTTGATTGTTGTATGTCTGGGTGTAGATTTATTTTGGTTATGGCTAATTGGAGTTGTATATGCCTCACTTAACTGTATGTCCAATTCTTTTTCCACTCAGGAAATTTTCTGCTATTACTTCTGCAAATAGTCTTTTTATGTCATTTGTGTTGACTCCTGTTTTTTGTTGACACCTATTAGTCTTATATTGTTCTTTTTTGTATCACTTGCAGCAGTTGAATTGTTATTTTCTGGTTTGTTATTTTTAAGAGATTTTTCCTTTTACGATTGCTAACTGCAATCCTGTCTTCAAGGTCTGAAAGTCTATCTTCAGTTTCATTCAAGCAGTTTTGCTAGCTTTCAATTGAATTTTTAATTTCCTGGATATATCTTTGAATCTGTTTTATGCATTCTAATTCTTTCCTATATTTTTCACTTAAGGTTTCCATCATTTCTTTATACTCCTCTATTTTTTTTTTTATCTATGTCTTCTGTAGATAATGCTCAGCAATTCTTTCATTATGGTTATCATTTATTTATTTATTTTTTTTTACATCAAAGATCATTTCTGATCTGATTTCCTACATAGCCTCCTGGAGTTGTTTCTTTACTTCAGTTGTTATCATTTCAGAAATTTCAGGTGTGTGACTTCCAATTTCTTGTATGTTGATAACTCCTTGACTTGTTTTGGTTGTGCTGGATGTCTGAGATTGCATTTTGCTCCCTCGTCTTGATATTTTCTACTTCAAAAATAAATTTTTATTTTGATTTCTGCGATGATCTGTGAATTTTGGTAGTAGGTAGCTATATCACTACTATCAAGGCCTTTTTAGGAAAAATCTGTTCTTTAGGGATATCTTATGTGTTTCAGAGATTCTTGGTTTGTGTCTGTCCCTCCTGCCTTCCCAATTAATTGAGAGTGGGATGTTGTTTTCCCTTTGGCTCTGTCCTCAGTCTTTAGGTGTAGGGCTGTGGTGAGGTTAATGCCCCAGAGCTTCCCAATATTGAGCTTCCCAATTCTACCCAAGGGAGAACAACTGATTACAACAGATATGACATCCTAGTTACAGTAGTACAATTAGCAATAATGATAGCATCAAGTAAAATTTAGAAATTGACAAACTGTGATAACTATTGATTTTGTACTTCAGATCATAGGAGCAAAGTCTATAGTTATATAACAGAACAAATCATAAATTAGGAGTTTGTATGCACAGTGTTTCCCCTTGTTTCAGTGGATTTACCCTGAGTTCCTCTGGCCAAGCTGGTTGCTTGGTGCTGGGTGCTTCACACCATGTAGGGGGATGGGTCAGGCTCCTGGGTTCCTCTGACCAAGATGGTTGCTGAGTTCCAGGTGCTTCCTGTGCTGGGTCTCTACGATGTTTTCTTATGCTAAATGTGAAGATGAAGGAGAAGGCATGGCAGAACTTCAGTTCTACCCCATGCACCTTGTCCTAACTTCTTTTCTGGGGCATCAGGTATCTGCTTATAATATTCTTTTTGATGAAAGCCAATTTTACCTCCTTGAAAAATCATTCAACATCTATAACCCAAATAACATTTTCCTTAATTTGTCAGAATCCTTGTCTCAGTGTATGAGGGAATCAGGTAAGAAATCACACTCCAAAAGTCCTTCCCAAAGTAGTTTAGTTTGGGGCCATGCAAATACTCTCTGTCCTACATATGACACTGAACAGAGGGCCTAGCTACAGGAGACCTCCAACTCTTCCTACTCTGATGCAGGCTTCTTTGATTGCCTCTGGCACCCCATCCAGCTTGTGTTTAATTCTTTATCTGCAAGGCAAGACTTTTGAGAGCATTTACTTTGTGTACTCCATATTCTCTCCAGAATAGTGGTCTGCCTAAGTTCAGAGGAACATGGTCTTGTCCCCTTTTCTCTGATGGTCTAGGAATTGATAATTGGCTGTTAGTCTCTCCTCTGGTGGCTCAAAGATTTAGGAATTCATATTCTATTAAAGTCCCCACTTTTAGACTGTTGTCCAACCATGACTTTATAGGTTTAATTTTATTTTTTAATTTTTTTTGATTTTTGAGACAGGGCCTCACTATACGGTTGAGGTTGGCCTTGAGCTCACTATGCTGCCAAAACTGCCCTTGAACAGGGTGTGATCTTCCTGTCTCAGCCTAAGAGTGCTAGACTAACAGTATATGCTGCAATGCCCAGCCACTTTATGGGTTCTTTAACTGACTTTTTCCTGGCAAGAGATAGTAAGGTACTTTATTTTGTAGCACGGCAAAGATGAAGGAACTAAGCGATAGTGTGGGGACAATCTCTGTTTTGGGAAAGAAACTGGGTATAGCCCAGGCCTCCTGTTGGTTTCATAGGTGGAATTCTATTCTAGCCATGGAAAGTACAAGCAGGGAAGAGAAAGATTTTGTACTGTGTTGTACTTCAGCTTCCATATACCAGATGTGTCCTCAGGGCTTTACATTCTAATTAGTCCTCATGACAACCCTATAAGGTAGATATTATTATCTCCAATTTCAGTTGGAAAAACTGAACTACATGGAATTTTACCTGCCCAGTGTCACAAAGCTAGGTGCAGGGCCTGGATTCAAAACCAGACTGGCTGAGTCAGAAATGTCTATGATACTGCATAGGAAAAAGAGGGAAACTGGCTAAAGAATCAAGAATCCTGAGTTTCTTTTTACTTAGGCTGTTGCCTCTATGACATAGGAAATTTGTCCCCATGGTCTCTCTCCTCATGCTGATTTTAAGCTTATTCACCCATGGAAAATACACCCCATTAAAGAAAAAGTTTGCAAAATTTTGGAATGTTTGTGATTAGTGTTGTAGGGGGAAGACTTGTTTCTAGTGATGATGTGGAACAAAAAACAGGTCTAGTGTGGATATTGCATCTGTTACTTACTGCTAGGTGACAAGTAGGCTTGACTCTCTGTAACTCAGTCTCCCTGGCTGCTGCAGATGATCTCTGAGGTTTTACTCCAGCTGTCATAGTTTGTGGGCTCCTAGTCATTGGTTTGTCTGTTCTCAGTCCACTCATAGTATCCTTTATTGTTGATATTTATTGCACCCTTGCTGAGCCTGTGGCTAAATGCTTAAGGTGAGGAGTTGGAAGAAAAAGACAGAGGAGGGAGTTTGAGGAGACATGTGCCACAGTTTCTGAATTTGCTGATCTGTGAGATGTGATCCAACAAAAAACAACTTTACTCTCAGCAGTTCAATTCAAATTGAGAGACCTATACATACTTTTATGGAAAGAACAAAGGGATGAATTTTGGCATTAGCTGAAACTTCTAATCCTAATTCTGCCACTTGCTAACTGGGTTACCATGATCATATTACTTGATTTCTCTGAACCTCAGTTTCCTCAAATGTGATATGTAAAAAATGCTTACCCTATAGATTTAGGAACTGAAATGGTTAAGTGAAATAAAAATAGGCCCTAGTCCAGTGCCTGGTACATAGAAAGTGCTGTCTTCTTGCTTGAAGAAAAGGGGGAGAGAATGTCTTGGGTGGCAGGGAATGCCCTATCAACCATTTGGAACTGAGAGGTCAAGGTCCTTTTCCTTTCTGGCTACTCTAGTCCCTATTCTGGGTACAGAATGATTGTGATTTGTGAGAACATGTTTTCCTGTGCTGGCAAGTGCTCAGCTCACTGATGTGGGCATAGCAGAGGTCCCAAAAGAGCGTGTTGTGTGAATGAATACCCTTCTTCTATGATGACAGGAAAAGGAAGAGAAGAAGGATTGGGGACTACTACCAGTCTTCCTGCAGATGCTTTGGGAAAGCTGTGGCTTGAAGATTTTGAGGAGGCTTGGCAAAAGACTGGGCAGGAAAGACTTAGGGAGGGAGTGCACCAGCCAGCTCAAGGAAGGGGGTAAGCATCAGGAACCAAGGGACTGACTGCCGCAACTAGGATAGCGACAGGGGGACAGTAGCAGAGGAGGAGGGGGCTCTGTTTCGTGCTGGAAAAAGCTTGATGAGGAGAGGCTACAGGAGGTGGAGAGAAGAATTCTCTCAAAATGAGAGCAAAGATTCTAAGCGTGCAAAAGGGGGTGGGGACAGATCAAGAAAGGAAAGGGGGTGGAGAGAAAGGGGGAGGAAGAAGTGGGAGGAGGGAAGGCCACAGATACCGATTAAAAAGAGAGGGGAAGAGGAACAACTGACAGACTCAAGGGCAAATAACAGTAGCAGGCTGAAGAGGCAGCCAGAGCACGGAGAAGCCAACAGAAATTCCAGGGAGCAGGAAAACAAACAGGTAAGGGTGGACTTGAACTTTAAAAGTAAAACTAGAAGTCAATAGGAAGTAGCCAGAAGAGAGACTTGACTTCAGAGGCTAAATAGAAGCAAAGCTCTTTCTAAGTGTGCCTCCCTGTGAGTTTGTTCCTTGCCTCTCTCTCACTATTTCTTCTGATAACAATGTTTAGATATATGAAGGGAAGGGAGTTTGGTGAAATAGCAGGTACATGACTTACTTTATTTATAAGGAGCTGTAGAAATCTGAGTAGGGGGCCCTCAGGGTTAGAGTCTATACCTGTGGAGTTGCAGTGTGCTTGTGAGAATCTTAGAAGCGGTCAGGGTCTGTTTCTAAGAACTTTTATTAAGAGGGAATTAGCCCTTTAAAAAAAGACACTGTTTTATGATGTTTCCTCTAGGCATGGAATCTTTTCTGAAATGCTTTCTGCAGCATCTAAGGGAGTGTTTTGATTTTTTTTTTTTCTTTCCAAGGCATGCTGGATGGTTTAAAAATATTCTCTACTTAGTTTTCTGCAGAGTATCACATTCTCACTGTTCAGTGGTTACACAGGAGAATCCAGGGTGCCTCTTAGAACAGATAAAAGAGACTGACATGACTCACAGAGGCAGCCCGAGAGAGGTGCCCCTGAAGTCTCCTCTCCACCTGGCTGGAGTGTGAGGTAGAAGACACAAGGCCGAGAGGGTTTGCTCAGCTTCTTGGTGTCTCTTCTAAGCATGTGGCAAGAGAACCTAGACTTGGACTGGGACACTTGTCAACTCAGTTTATTCTTTTCTTCATTTTTTTCCTTTATTCCCTTTCCCAGGATTCCATCATAAGAAAGGGATTCCTGGTTCTTACTCTTCAAATTCCGGGGGTGTATGTTTCCTGAACAGGACTCTGGCACAACAGGATCCGAATGGCCTGGGAGAGGAAGGGCAGCATGGAGAGAACCAGAAAGGCACACAGGAGACCCAAAATTTGAAGAAACCAAGGCTAGTGTGTGGGAGCTGTTTGCCTGGCAGTGTGGCTAGAGGCATCTGAGTCTGAGTTTTATACCTGTTGTTCAAGTGGCCTCCATCTCCTCTACCCATTGCCCCAAGAAGTACAACTCAGCCCAGAGCCTGAATGAGTGCTCTCTAGGGACAGGCTTGAAATTGCCACCTTCCTGTCAGGTTCCCCAGGGCAGCAAAGCTTTTGGGAGTCTACTGCTCAGGCTGTTCCTCCAAGTCTTTTCCTCACTTAGCAGCTGCCATTGAGGAGTACCAGTGACTGCAGTATGCAGAGTACCTAGAGGGGCATTCTCTGGCTTCTGATTTAGAATCCTTTGAGCTTTCCTCAGTCAGACACAGGACATGCATAGAGCCATGACAGTGACAAAGTCAGGTTGCCCTGACTTGCCACTGCCTTGTAACTCCAGAGATATCTTGCTGGACTCCTAAAACTGTCCACTGTTCTTATGTTTTAGCTATCTCATTTTTTATTCCCTTTTTAGTACTGGCCTACAGCCCTAGGACATGAGACCTGGAGAAAAGAGTGTCTTAGATTGCCAATCAACCTCTTCTTTTGACAATAAAGAAATTAATATCTTGAAAAGGAGGTGATCTGCTGGAGAAGACAGTGAATCAAGATGGAGTTATCTGGGAGATGATCTTGCTCTCTTCATGCATACCTGGAGCTCTTCTAACCCCTGCCTATGGCTGTTCCCCAGGCTCTGTTTCTCCCCAAGCCTCTCTGATTCTTCCATTTGAGCATCTCTATAATCCTATCTTTTCACAGTGACATCCATCTGCTCCTCATTATCACTACTGGCTGGCAGGGTCTTAGGCTTTTGCAGCCAGGAGGGCTACCACAATGCCTTCTGGCCTCTTTGGTACTTCTGGGTCCCATTTCTGGACATGAGCAATTAAAATAAGACCGAGGGCCTGTCTATATAGGTTAGTCAGGGCAGGAACTGGAAGATCTGCAATCCCCAGAGTCTGGAAGATCCAAGGCAAAGCTCTGACCCTGTGGAAGGAGGAATTTACCCACAGGGGCTTCCAGCAGTATTTTCCTGAGCTAGCTCCCATACACATCCTCTTCGGCTCAAGAATTGAGTTGGCCATAAGGACAAAAAGCCCATTTTCCTGGAAAGCTTCAGGTCTCCTGCAAAAGAAGTTGACTTCCTTTCTATTGTTGGGAGTGGCTGACTTCTGGTGAATGACAGCTTGGTGCCACTTTGTGAATCATTTTTTTCTGACAGCAAACAATGGGGGAAAGATCAGTCAATCCATTCATTTCTATAAGAAAAGGGAGCTCTAAGGTCACAGAATCAGAAGTATTGAAATAGCACAGCGAGGCCTTAGATATCTAATTCCAGTGTAGGGCAAGAGAGTCTGGGCATTTGGTATCAAATTTGGTTGCTGTGGACTTGAGGAAAAGTATTTAATATCTCTGATCCTCAATTTCTTCATATGCTAAAGAGGTTAACAGGGTCTTCCTGTAAGGTTTTATGAGGATTAAGTAACTTATTTTTTTAATACTTAGGTTGAATTCAGGACCTATGCACATGCTAGGCAAGTGCTAGGTAACTCCAGAGGTATCTTTCTGGAGAATGTCTCTTGGGGATATAGCACCACTGAGCTATATCCCCAACCTGGTATTTTTTTTTAAAGGGCTATCACTTAGCAGGTACAGTCCAGGTTACATTGTCCTCAGCTTGAGATTCTTTGAATTGCATCTTATTTGGTATAAAGCCCTTTCTACAGAGAAAGCTAACCATGACATAATTCTGAGAAGGTACTGCTTGGTTTTTGTGGCCATAGATATTTTTTTTCTGGGACTACTTTTGCTGACCTCTAAGCTAGGAGACAGAAAATCTAGATTTGCTTCTTGACTCTGCCAGTAACTTGCTATACTATCATAACTGGACAAATCACAAACTTTAGAGTTGGAAGGGTCTCTGAAACCATCCTGTCCAACTGCTTTGTTTTATGCATAACAGCATTAAGGTTCAGGGAGGTCCCAAGAATGTCTCTTGTGTAAAGCCACAAAGGTAAAACTAGAACCAGAAAAAACCTCTCTCATGAAATGGTAACACTGTATTTTTTTTCATCTCATCTTTTTTTTTTTGCAATGGAGATTGAACCCAGGGTCCTACACTTGCTAGGCAGGTACTCTACCACTGATCTTTATCCTCCCCCTACACCGCATCTTCACAGGGAACTTCCAGAATCTCACTTTAGCCTGAAAACTGCACAGTTCAGAACTTCTGAGAAGGGCCAAGATTGTTTGAGGTCAAGATGTCCCTACACCTCAGATCACAGAGTACACAACTTCCCCTTTCTCTTTCAAAAAGAATTGAACCTATTTCCAACTCCTTTTGTGGGTGTGCCTTTGGCTTTGTGATCAAATTCAAAAGTGCCACAGCTCTTCTAAAGGGAATAATACCATGACGTATGCTCAGGGCAGAAGCCTGAGTTGAAACATGTTAGGAGCAGGCTGGACTTGTCACTGGAATGAGAGGGGCTAATCTAAGCAGGCCCTGTATCTTGCTGCTTCTCCAGCCCTGCCCAGAAGGTCTTTATGCCTAGTGAACCAATTAATTTGTAGATAAACAAATATTCTTCTCATTGCCCATGTTTTTCCTATCTCTTTTTTTTCTTCTTTTGTCTTTTTGAGACAGGGTCTCGCTATGCAGTTGAGGCTGGCCTTGAGCTCACTTTGTAGCCCAGGCTGGTCTTGAACTCACAACGATCCTCCTGCCTCAGCCTCCCGAGTGTTGGGATTACAGGTATGTGCTACGGTGCTCGGCTCCTATCTCTGATAGTCACCTTCCTGTTCCTGGTGACACATGTTGATCCTTGCTGGGTCACTAACCAGCCTGTTGTACTCTCAAAATCTGCATCCAGTTGGATAGTACAATCATGTTTGAGAATTTTTATAGGAAGTGTCAGAAATAAGGTATTAACATTATGAATGTCTTCTATGTGCCAACTACTGCTCTAAGCAGTTCATATATTCACAGTCTTTAATTGCCATGAACATACACTTCCATCTTTTTTCAGATGAGTTCGAAACTGAGTGGTTAAGTGATTTGTCTAAGGTCACACAGCTAGAAAGTGTTGCCAGCAGGGTCTGCGCCCCTGTTTCCCCTAGAAACCATACAACTCACCAATGACAATACTGTTCCTTTTGTTCTTGCTAATAATGTGACATCAATGGAACACCAGAGCCTGCTGTTTGGGCAGCTGAGAAACCAGCGGTAGACACTGCTGCAGCCAAGAGCACTTACTGGCTAAAAAAGGAAATAACTTTCTATAAGTGAATTCTGGCCAAATGGTAGCAGATGCTGATGAGTCTGGGAATCCTGACCACTGTGGACTAAAGCCTCCAATGTAATGATTAATTCTAAGAACAGCATATGTAACAATCAGCCAGCAAATAAACAGAAGCTAAAAGGAGAAACCCTGGGCCTCTCAAGGACTAGGTAAAGTGAGAAAAACTCTACTCACTAGTTGGGACTGGAGTTCTGGTCACAGAGTCATCATAATCTATCTGTCCTAGGACCTTTCTTTTTTTCATTCCCTTTTCAGAAACACAGAAAGAACACAAGCCTTTGAGTCAGGCCAACCAGATTGGAGCCCATTATGCAGCATTTGCCTGTTGTGAGACTTTGTATGAATAACGTAACCCTTGAGCTTCAGTTTTGTCTTCTGAGAAATGAGACAATACTGCTCTCTAGCAGTGTTAACGGAAGGGTTAGAAAGTACAGTTGTAAAGTGCTTTCCATGTGGAAAATACTCAACTTAGTGCTACCTGTTCTTACTATTGCTGAACTTCCCTGGGCCTGTCTTACCTTACAAAAAATAAGGATTGAGTTGGATTGATCTCTAGGTTTCTTCAACTCTACTGCTTTATGAATTTATTAAGAGATGATGAGAGCAATAAAGAAATGTGAGCATTGTTATAAATAGAATTTTCCTTAGTAATTATATAGGTATTAATCAATTCCCCTAAGGTAACTCATCAGGTCCTGGCAATAT